CTGCTGGCCCCCCGAGACAGCACCATCGGTGTGCTCAGCAAGCAGGATGGAGCCTGCTGGGTGCAGTGCCAGGCAGCATGGAGCCACCCTGGGGTGCACCAGGTCATTCCCTAGCCTGGAGGCAGCAGAGGGAGAGGGCAGGGGCAAAGGGGCTCACCCCAGCAGCACCTACCCAGGACGAAGATCTTGTTGCCCTGCAGGAAGGCAGAGGCCCCATAGCAGGGGGGGGGCATGGAAGGCAGGGGCTGCCAGGGGGCAGGGGCTGCCAGTGGTCCTTCGCTGGCTCATAGACACGGACCAGTGCCTGGGGAGAGGTGTCTGCGCCCATTCCCCCCAGTGCATAGACAGCCCCATCTGCAAAAGAGGCAGCAGTGAGGCAGGAGGATCCATGAGCAGTGCTGCGGGGCTGGAGTCCCCCACTGTGCCCTCTAGGGCAGGCAGCATGGGCACTGCAAACCCCTCTCAGCCAGATATTGCTTCAGGGTGGCTGGGGGACAATGAGGGTAGCCAGGCCTGAGCCTAGCAATGCCTTGAACCTGCTGGGACACTCTTGCTCCCCTCTCCACCCCATCCATCAGGCACAGAGAAGAGCACAAGGCCATCCTCTCTAATTATTCTCGGCAGTACCATCTCCCTGGAGACACCATGGCAACACAGCCATGCTGCCAAATCCTCCTCCCGCTCCCAGCAAGGCCAGCACCCCTGCCCGCTCCCACCGCTGTCCTGTCACCCCCTCTGCCCTGCCCACCCTGCTGCAGCCTGGGTCATGCCACGGCATCCCTGGCCAGGAACCAGACACGGGCATCACATGCAGGGCCCAACCTCAGCTCCTGGCATGCCAAGCTGTGCCAAGGCTCAGAAGCTGCTCAGCAAACTTTGGGCAGGAGTCACAACATGTTTGATGCACAGTACTCCAAGCTGGGCTTGAGCAGGGTACTCAGCCACCCAGCATGGCTCCCAGCCAGGGCAGCTGGGGAAGGCTCTCGAACCAGCAGGAGCTCCATATTGCTCAGCTCTGGCCTGCAAGAGGGTTGCTGGGGCAGGAGCATGATCCTACCATTAAGTGTCAAGTTCAGCTGCTGAGTGAAAGCCTCATGCAACATCCCAAGCAGCAGCAGGATTCAAATCCCGCAGGAGCATCGCTGACCTCTGCATCCCCACTTCTCTGGACAGTAGAGGTACCTGCAGCCAGGCCCCAATATCATCCCTCTCACCTCTCTGCACAGCTGAGATGCCCATGGAGGGCTGAGCCAGCGCTGCCTTCTTCTCCCACTTGCCCTCATCCACGTGGTAGACCTCAACGGAGGCGAGGGGGCTCTGTGCCGCATC